AATCACGTGGATAATACAGGGGTTTATGCATGCATCGACACCGATATCCTCCTGCTGACAATCACGTGGATAATACAGGGGTTTATGCATGCATCGACACCGATATCCTCCTGCTGACAATCATGTGGATAATACAGGGGTTTATGCATGCATCGACAACGATATCCTCCTGCTGACAATCATGTGGATAATACAGGGGTTTCGATTACTTTTTCCATAAGCGGCTGCCGATGGTGAAATAGGCGCCCGTGTCCAAACAAGGGGCCTTCAGGTCATTTAGGCGAAACCCAAACATGAGAGCCTACTCGCAAGCTAAACAGATGGGGGTTAGTCAAAGAGGCGACGGTAGATCACTAGTAACCGACTTTTAATGAATCAATGAAAAAGTTTCAAATACTCGCTGGTATGACGCGGTGTTTCGTCGTGGCCAAAAGACTAAACAGGTACTTTTCGAAAATTCCCAGCAAACTCGTCGAGCATCGCGTTCAAAGTCCCGTTCGCGAAATCAAGATGTTAGCAGTCTAGCCATCTATCGCAGAAGGATTCCCAACCGCACGTTCAAGAGTTACAATGTATACCATGAAAACTTGTCAAATACTTGTGAAAAAGTTTCGTGGCTGGTATAGCAAGGAGTAGTCATGCCATTTTGTAGCCATGGTGACTTCTTGTCACGGGATGAGCAAAGGAAACAGACAAATGGGATCTCTTTTTTTTTTTTTTCCTGAACCTTGACCAATTTTTTCTTCGCCTACATTTCCTACCTTTGCCATTCACCAATAGCCTTCGATAAATTACCTCTGGTGTTGTTTATTAACGCAGAATAAACTTCTAAGCATTTATTGTACAAAATACATTTAATTTCAAAATATTAAATAATTTCATTCTCAACCAGATGAACGACGAGGTGATCAACATGTAAATTCTCCATGCAGTATCACTGACATGTCAAGCAGACAGGTGTTGAGAATTTAGAAAAATTCATCCAAAATGTTTCCAGTTTTTAAAGCTAATAATATACTTTAAAAAGATTTTAGAAATAAGAATTTGGTCTCATTATCGTCGAAAGTGGAAAGGTTTAGATAAATAACAACTTAGTTTTTTTTCCAAGTAAACACTCTTAGGATGAATAAAATTTGAATTGTTTCAATTAATTCCAAAAAAATTGATTTGCTCCTTCTCACAAAGGCACAACACAAGTTTTCATTCCTCTGTTCGTTGTCGTAGCTGAAATGATGTCGTGATTTTAATGACCTTATAACTTACAAACAAATATGTTCAAATGTACAAAAATTAAGGTGCAAATTGAAAAAAGTCCGAATGTATGTTTTGTATTAAAAGTCGAAATTGACGCAGGCGTGTCCAGTTTCCTTGACAGGGCTGTCCTTGACATGGTTGTTTTTTACAGTATTTACAAGTCCTCTTCACCTTCTCAGTCAAATTTGCTTATGACTACACAACACATTTGACGCGGAAGAGGGCTTGACGGAAAGTGTGCTCTAGAAAAGTTCATCTTGTCAGATATTATCTACGAGTTTCTTTTGCTAAAAAATATTTAAAGTCAATATAAATGCACCTATGACGTATCCGAGGCGAGAAAAGGAGCAAATGGACGCTCGTCCCAAGAAAAAGAAGAATTTTAACGGTATCCAGAAGGTCCGATTGTTGTATGTGTTTCCCTTGTTTGTTTTCTTTGTGGATAAGTGTGTTTGGGAGACTCGTCTTCACTTGTCATTAAGTTGGACTGAAACCCTTCATCATTCTCACTGTCACTACTGGGTGACATGGGTCCCTCTTCACTGCTTGGAGTCCAGCTGCGAACGTGCTCATCATGTGCTGACGGAAGAAGCCGGTCCAAGAAATCACGTGAAACGTCATCTTTTGTAAAATCTACTTTACTTCTGTGGATACCATACATGAAGTAAATAGCCATACCTTCAAAGACAAAAAGTGATGAGGCTTCAATCAAGCACAATGGGATCATTTAAAGCCCCTTGTGGTATAGGCTAGCTCTTAAATGCCGAACTAATGACTTCATGGTTAAAAGTGCTAAAAGCTGCCTGTACTATGGGACAGAGAAAAACCCAGATATCAAAAGGGCGGCAAGTGCCAGATATCTCAGAGTAAGTGTATTGCAAACGAAACGAACCGCGGGAAAACGTGCATGACCAGGTCGGTATTGTTTTTTGTATTGTATCTGATTGTTTGAGAGGGTAGCGCAGGTTTGCTACGTCATTAAGAGAGAACACAGCAGGTTAAATCCCTTTAATCCTGGATTAGGTCACTCTGTGGAAATGCTCTACAACGTACTCACCTAGAAACATCCAGGTAGCGACTCGAGCCCAAGTCCACCGAGACAGATTAGTCAGCAGGTAGATATTGGTCAGGATACTGATCAGAGGAACGAACGGAGTACATTTTACTGCATTTGCAATCCTGATCTCCTCTGTTGGTAACAAGAACAATATTACCAAGGCGAAGATGACAATAGCACCCATTAAGCAAGAGACGAATATGATAACAGGATTCTTCTCGGCCAAATGAGGCAAGCCGCTCGCTGGAGAGACGGACAGAGAAAACCCATAACCCGCAAATAAAAGACACGCTGCAGCAATTCCAGCAACTCGATGAGTTTCCTCGCTGGGTTTGTCACCAAACCTAGCACCCAATTTGCTTTTGATTTCTCGCACGGCTGAGATTTGTTTCTTTATCCCTCTGCAAAGCTTTCCACAGCAAGGAGAGGGTTCATTTTCATTTGTATCGTAATCTTCTTCATTTGTTGAAAATTCTGACGAAGACATCGGTCGATACCGCTCCAGAAGGACAGCTACAGACACAGCGGTGTACGCCATGAGTGTTCCAATAGACATCATCTCAACCAAATCGTCGAGGTTTAAGAAAAGTGCTATTATTGCGGCACTGAAGCCGAAAATTAATCCAGCTCTAATCGGAACTCGAGTTTTGTCGCTAACCTTTGCTAAACTTTGAAACAAAAGTCCGTCATCGGCCATGGCGTAAATAAGACGAGTTCCTGCATAATTAAACGTGAGCAGAGCAGTTGTCATTCCGAAGAATCCTCCGATGGCGACTAAGTATTTTCCAATTTCAAAACCAGTATAACCGAATGCATCTGTTAGAGGACTGTTGAAACCGAGTTTATTGTAAGGAATGATAAGTGTCAAAATTGCTGCGGTGATGAGGTAAATGAACACCCCTATGTACGTACTGACAGCGTTAGCGAACGGAACAACTCTCAGGGGATTGTCAGTCTCTTCGCTGGCGGAATTGATGATATCAAAACCAAGAAATGCAAAGTAAGAAATCGATGCACCAGCCATGATTCCGTTGAAGCCAAAAGGCGCGAACTTTTCAAGTGTTTCCCAATTAGTCGTGTCCATGAAGTAAAATCCTGAGAGCACAATAAACAAGACCACCAGCAGATTAATCATAGTCGCAAACCGCATGAACAGGGCTGGTTTTCGTGACCCTGTAGCAGCCAAGACGGTGAATACAATAACGATGAAAAAAGCTATGAAATCTGGATATGGCTGAAATCCTGTCACGCTCCACTTAGCAAGATTTGCTGTCATGAATTTTGAAATTCTTTTCCCGCTAATGGAGTTCAGAAATTTGCTGAATTCATTTGCAAGCAGTGCGCTGGCAAGGACGTTTTCTAAAATTAGATTCCAACCGATCATAAAGGCCCATATCTCTCCCAGAGCAAGGTATGTATAAACATACGAAGATCCTGTTCTCGAGACGCGAGCGGCAAATTCGGCATAACAGAACGAAGACAAAATCGCTGGGAGTGCCGCTATCATGAGGGAAATTACAATGGCTGGACCTGCTGTATCTCGAGCTATTTTTCCCGTGGCCACGTACAAACCTGGACCAAGCATGGATCCCATTCCTAACAAAACCACATCGAGCACAGTCAAACACCGGTTGAAAAGTGTATCATCTCTCGTTAGACCGCTCTTTCGTGAACGAAGTAGAAGTTTCAAAAAGTTGCTGCAACTCATGTTGATATTCCGATACAAAGATCCTTAAAAAGTTTCTCAAGGTCAGCTGTTAGATTTCCGTTGAAAGAAGGACATGAAATTCACAAAATAGTTGCTTGGTGTTGCGGTATTTGACAATAAGTCAAACTTCCATTAAATATATAACAACAGTTCCACATTGCTTAATTTCGCTCGTCTCTTACTCACATTCCTTTTTGTACCTTTTTCCTCCGACAACCACGGCAGGAAGAACTTGAAGAACTAGAAAACAACGGGACCAAGGATTCATTTGAAAAACTAAAATTTCTCTTCGCTTCCTTGCCGGCTGAAGCGTCCACAGGCTCTCTGCATCAGCGATCACATTTAAAGTTAACATAAATTTTCTCTCGACAAAATTGACTTTCAAATAAGCATTGTACGTGTCAGCTTTGTTGTTATTTCTGTTTGTTTTGCTGACCTCATAATAACGGCGTGCCAGCATCTGTGTAAACGTAAAGCGCAGCGTCCGTTGAAAAAAAAAATTTTATCCTTGAAATGCCTTTTTGAACATTTTGATCCCGTCCGCTGTTCAGATTTATCCTTCATCTTTTTATTCAAATCACAGTTTCTGTTCAAATGATATTATAGTTTTGTAATTCAAATGTGATAACAGTATTGTTGATATGTGTAGAACCTTTATTACTTCGCCCTTGGCTGATTTCTTTATGCAGATAGGGAACTCTTTTTGTGACGTCTGTGATTCAGTTGACACCCACTTACTGTTTTTTCGCGCTGGGAAGGCTTTGAAAATAACATCTGATGAATTTAGAACGACGATATTGCTGACGTGTTGTCATTTTCACAAAACAGTGTGGAGTAAATTTCCAGTGGTAAAAGATAGCGTTTAAATGTAAAAGGTTGCTTAAAGTCTCACATTTTTGGAAATGGTTGCGTTCGAATGTATTGAAACAAACTCCAATTTTTGGGCAATGGCATTTCCATTTTTGTTCCTTCCCTTCCTCATCGGAAGTGACACTACTTCTCGTTTGTAAGCCTCCAAGCTCCGGCTTCGCTGTTGCATTCACTTCCTTTTCCAGCGCAAGTGTGTTTATTAGTTAGGATTAGTGTTACCTGTAGAAGTACTTTAGGTATGATTAATCCCAAGGGGCTACTAGGTTATTTAAGGTGTTGTAAGTTATGCAAGAGCCACTCAAAGGCATCTCTTTTAACTTTGCTTGTTTATTCACTATTGTATTTTCTTTATGATGTAACGCCCGCCGTATCCTGTATCAATATACTGTATGCCCGCTCCTGATGCTGTATTCGTGTTTGTTGAGATTAGTTACGAAATATTTTATAATCGTCTCAGGGTGATTAGAGAATAAAGTAGGTTAATCTCTCCTTGTAAGAAAAATGAAAAGAAATCACCTTCCGCCTATAAAGATGGCCTTTTCCTGTTTGACGCACTTTATATTAAATTTACAATTCTTTTTTTATTTTTATTTTTTTATTGCGTTGCACACAACTATTTACACAACTTTCATTACAATACTTAACTACTGCACTAAACATAATAAACAGGACCTCCGGTATAACACAGCTAATTCACACTCACGTACACACACTCACGAACAAGTTTACATGGCAAAGTCGCATCTGTTTGAGCCCGACATATTTTAAATTATTAAAAACTAGATCATTGGATAATGCAATTCAAGACTTTTTATTGGCTTAGCCATTATGGTATATCAGCCAATATACCATAATCTACAAATATGGCAAGCGTACATGTCAGCTTAAAATTAAAAGGGAGGTTAAAATTTAATAAAATTTAATAATTTAATTTAACGTTTTTAATAAAACAATCATTCAACTACCTCTAGTATTCATATTGTCCACTTCTTCCTAAACATATCTAAATTATTATCTTTTGTACAGATATATTTTTCAGTCTCATACTGTAATTCGACTTTTGATTGAAAACCCGTATACTTGAAAGTTCTTTATTCCTTCTACAAATTTACAATTCTTGGACACCCGAAGAAGTAGCAGTAGCGCGCTTTCAGGTAATACCCCCTCCGCGTAGTGAAACAACTAGTGTAAGAAAATGTTCAACCTAGTTTCATTTGAAGTCCGGCCGGCCGGTTATTGGAGTAGATTTTGTTTGACTTAAATCATCACTGTTACAGGGCAGAAGAGGTGACTCCCGACATTTTGGAGAAACTCAAACAAAACGAGGGATTCATAGAAAATAGAAGGCGAGGTACTGCTCACCTGTTCAGGTAGGATGGAACTTTTTAATGGAGTGTTTTAGATCCACTTTTGCTGTGTTAACAGGAACCTCAAACAGCGATAAGTGGTTTGTTAGAAGTTAGAAGTTGCAAGAATTTTCAGCTTTTTAGATCGACGTCGGCTTTCTCCTGTAAAAATTAACATGAGGGCCGCCATCTTGAATTACAGACAGGATGGGAAGTCCTTCATTTTAAACACAAAATGTGGCTAAAAGTTTGGTTTTCTAGCGTCCCAAACAAATCAGCTACAAAGAAAAGACCATCTCACGTACATTTTACAAGACACATGTGAGATTTTTCTGTGGGAGTTGACCTACCTGAAACTGCCTTGCCCGACCGTAAACGGCGAACATGATCGCTGAAGTCTGGTCACGTGACTTCAGAAAAAACCGTGGATCTAAAACTGTCTTATGTTGTCATGTTAGGTGATGAAGGGGAGTCAGAGTGTGTCATTATGGTTGGCGTCAGTCAGGAAATTATAAACTGATAATCTCTTGCGTTGGTTTCCAATATGATTGGTTAGAAACTGTGGGTATTTCCTTATCTTTACCACTTTAGGCGATCCCTAATATAAGGGGGGGTAAACTGTGGTGCTGCGTCGGGTGAGGTGGGGGGTTTTACAAAATAAATTGTTTTTTCAACTGATAATGTAAATGGGCCACCGTAAACAGTTTCTGAAGCAGACGTTTCAAGCGTTAGCCCTTCGTCAGTGCGATTACAACTGTTCGGTGCAAAAGAAAGTGCTATTAGTCAGGGTTTGAACTTTTCCGTCGAACGTCGATGCATGTCTTAAAGAAAAAAAAAATTTTGTTGTGCTATAAATCTGCTCTTCATATAAGAAGAAAGGGGAGAACAACAATGGTTTATGTTCTTGTTTAGTACTGGAAGATCAAACAAGAAAAGGTAAACTTACATGCGTTGAAACATGGTAAAAACTCAATTAAGTAAGAAAGGTATTGGAGAAAGCTGCGCACACCTCTTATTAACCGAGAAACCGGGATTAGTGAAGTATGTATTATACCTCTGGGTTCAAATAGAAGGAAAAGATTGCAATTCGAACAAATTTTCTTGATTTAGCGGACCGTATAGTGAAATACGGCCTGCTTAAATAGCCAATCATAGCGCACGTACCGACTGAGAGATGTAATAAGCACTTGTCGCATGTACTAAACGCACAAGGACCACATTGGAGTCTCAATACGGCCTTGGTGTGATCAAATGGTAACCCACACTGTACCACCAGTCCCTTTTTGTTTATTTTGCAGTGCGGATGCCTTGGATGCTTTCTTGAAAAGGAACCATCTTACTCACGTGATCAGAGCGCATGAAGTACAACAAGCTGGCTTCCAGGTCTGGCGATATTACTCATAACGACATGTGACATGTACCTAACAAGGCAAACAGTTTGACCCTTTATATCCTAACATTGACATTCAATTTCTCCACACTATTTTTTCCGACATTTTTGTTTTAGGCGTCACTGCCCTTAATTCAACAGCACCTGATTTCAATGCTCTGTTTTTTAGCATTTGTTAAGTCTGTGATTCTGGAAGTTTCGAGTGTGTGATAAGGTTAATCGTCGTTGTTGTGAACACCGTAAAGGCCCTCTCTATTTAGCCGTTCTACTAAACCTTTCTAATAACTCACCCCTACCCTCCCCCTTTATTCACTATCAGGAGCTTCAACTCCTAACATACTTCAAATTCTTTACCGATTTTCTTCAGCATAAGCTCAGTTTATCAAGCAAGCGTGAGTTAAAAGTTAACAGAACACATTTACTCTAGATTGGGACAAGTTAGAATTTTAGAGTTCCGTGATATTTAGTTCCATTTACGCTAGGTTCTCAGGTGGTAATACTTCTCTTGTCTACTGCCTAACATCTGCTAAGACGGACAATGTTTCCCATTACAGCCTGGTATTTTGAGAATGTCAGATGGTTACTCTGGGCCTAGTGACGATGAGATAAAAGATGCTAAACATGAGCGATTACTAACAACACCTTTACTCTAATATCTCGTTTTCATTTATCTGAAGGTTCAACAGAATGGCAAACTCCTGACCGTATTCTCGTCATCGCAATACTGTGGGGGGTCCAATGAAGCAGCCTGCATCCTGGCATATCAAAACAAACTACGCACAATCCGACTGGATACCACTTGATCGACCATACTCGCATTTCGCAGCTAAATCAGTTAGACCAACCGTGAACAGTAAGGACACATCTCCATCGTTTTGTTACTCGTTGCTCATTTCTTTTGTTCTCAGTTATATAATCAAATTATTCATCTCTAGAGTAAATTATTTTTAATAAAAAAACATTTAAAATACCTTTTGACCTTTGTAACACGAGTCATCGGTAATATTAGCTTTTTGTTAGTTGAAAAGAACTTTTCAACTGAAACACATAAGTCTGGTTTTGCAAAAACTAGAATAATATCCATAATGGAAAGAGACTTCGAAAAAGTTGTTTTGTTAAAAAGGTTGTCCAAAGTAGAGTTAATATTTCTTAGAAGTTCAAATGAGTAAGATGTCGAGAGAAAACGAATAAAGTTGAAATTCCAATTGTCAACTTGACTGTTCCTTTCTTGAAGTCCACATACTGACGGCGAAACAGCACCTATCAGTGCTGAAGTAGAGAAGTTAACGATATACTAACACCTCACACACATTACCGATTCTCGCCTTCCTCTTAGAGTTTCCACAGCACTTTCCAGGAGCACTTTCAAGGGGGAATGACAATTCTCTCGCCCCAGAGAACTGGGGCGGGAGACTTGGTCATTACCTTTTACATCCTAACATCAGTATTCACATTCTCGATACTGTTCTCCACATTTTTCCTTAGGTGCTGACTAGGAGAATTTGTTTAACAATCAAGACTCTCTTTAGTGATCATTTACTTTATTTTCCTGGCCTTAATGTGTGCCAGGGATTATGTTGTAAGGAGAAATTGGGTGCTATTCACTCTCAAGGGAAGGGGTGCTCTCAAAGAGTTCGAAATAACTCTCATTAGTATATACTAAAACAGTGGATAGCGTTGAAGGCGCGCTCTGATTGGCTAGTCAAACTCCGAATATCCTTTGCTATTTACCTCCGAGCAACTCGAAAAAAATAGCGTCCCGGTTTGCATCCGTGACAAGCGAAGAAATCACTCAAATCAATTTTGGGTGGTGTATATTATCTCACTGCCTTAGTATATACTAAAACAACTATTCACCTCAGTGTAGGTGGTTAGCGGTGGATATTTACCTCACTGCTTCGCTGCTCGGTAAATATCCACCACTTACAACCTCCACTTCGGTGTATAGTTGTTAAATATCCTAGCTTTTAAATAACCTCACAGAAGTTCAGTAAACTGCTGACGCTTTACAGGAGTGTATCCTTTCTTGTTTATCTGATCTACTATTTTACTGTACTGAGACATTCCCTATCGCAGGATTAGGTTTCACTCCCTCGGTGGGTACTGAAGAATAATACTCGCAACTATGCTCGCGTATCAGCCGCGATTTTCCTGCTCAGATCTGTTCAAAACTATCTATTCGTTTACGGAAGGTTTCCACCGAGGACGCTGTTTACCAATTTACTTCATGAATTACTAAGTCTTTAGTGTATGAAGCGGCACCCACAAATCATATGGAATTGATCCTTATTAGAGAAACAAATGACGTCTCAAACAGTGTTAAGAAGGCCTCGACGGCTATTATCATCGGGTTCTCTGCTTGATAGCACAAAGCTTAGAGCCAGTCAGTTGAAAAAGCAACGAATTCAAATAATAAATTCAACCTCTGACGTTAAATGTGTACTCCTTGTTCTTGACTTTTAATTGGGAAAGTCTTCAAAAATATCCAAGAGGATACCAGAAGTCACTCAAACAGTCGACTCTTGAGGAGTGTCTTCCCACTCGCTCTTTCGTATCCAAAGAGTACCAAGTGTTAGTAACCTTTCTACTGGGGTCCTTCGCAACTTTTTAGCTTACCGACAACCGATGTGGGCGCTTAGATCTTGCGTATTCTGACACGGAGCATTTTACCAGCGCACTTAATAAAATCTTCCTCGTCGCTTGGCGCACGTGTAGTTCAATTACCAAGCTCGACCACTTAAGTACACGTTTTAACAGCGTTTTATACTGAAACCATTATCAGATGACAAGAGAAACAGTGTGTTATCCCCAAGGCTTTGTAACAGCAAATGTAACCAGAGCCAAGAAAATTAGGAACAGAGACAGTGCAATAGCCTTGTCACGAGGCTCCCCTTGATAAGCTTCTGTTAAAGGAAAAAACAGCTCTTCTTTGCAGACTTCTCTGTAACATATTCCACTTAGATCCACCGTCCTAGCAAGAAAGGACACGACCACCATAAATGAAGGAAAAATTAAAAGGAAAATAGGAATTTTTTTCGTGTGTGCCTATGAAAGGCCCTGCGGGTTACCTATACAGACTAGACGAGTTGAAACAAAAAAAACCCTTTTTTTTCTAGGCCCAGCCTTTCGGCTTGAAGCGCGGAACGGTCCGAGTACATATTGGTCGTGAGGATTTGTCCTAGTGATTCAGCTGCTTCTTGAAAATAATTTGCATTTTACGGTTTACCTGTTCAACGTGGGTCGTATAATTGCAGGAACATTTTAAACCCAACACTGTGGCACGCCGATTCATCGGCTGGAAAAACCAAAACTCCCGCCCCTCCCCCCTCTCTTATCGAAAATACCAGCTACACGAGGGAGAAAGATTGTTCAACAAAATGATGGACAATTCTCACAAAAAAAATACGGGTTTCTTTCTTTTACCTCTTTACTGGCTGCGGTTTTACGGAGGGAACCCTGATAAAAACAACCGAACTTGTCAGCATAAAGTACTGGAGAAGAGGAGCGTATTCTCTCGTGTCCGTGCCGTTCTCCGTGATACTCGAGTTCTGATTGGCTGGTGTAACCGATGAATTCGAAATATTGACACCGACCGAGGCACTTGCAGCTGACGGTGTGATTGCGGAGGGGCTGGGCACTACTTGTGTGACACTTGTGTTTGTTATGGGTGCAGAACAACTCAAACCGTAACCGCTGACACAACTAAGTCGCCAGGTGGTGTACTGGTATCTAACATAAATCATTGACATAAATACGAAAGAAGGGTGAGTGGGAAATATACTTAGAAGTTTATGATCGTTATCAAATTTTTCCCGCTTTCTATTGCGCAAAATTAGAACAGGCGACTCTTTTGTTTGAACAAACATCATTTTTATACATGTAAGCCGCTAGTGTAGAGTTAGTTTTCATTAAACACGCTGCTGTAAACTTTTTATATGTTTGCAACTAACAACTTAAGTAATACAGTATATGGTTTGAACCCGGGATAACATGTGTTTGTGGTTGTGTAGTCTGGTCCGGAGAAAGACTGTTGTCAATGGCGGTGACTGACGTTTCGACAACCAAGTCAAAGGACTGAGAGTTGTTGTCACTAGAGTTACTTATAAGTAAGTCCGGTTTGCATAAAGTGTGTAAACAATGTTTTGATTCGCTGGTAATGTTTGGTCGTTTCTTTTTTGTTCGTTTGCGGTGTAAACCGCCTCCCGATTAGCTCAATTGGTTAGAGCTCCGGACTGTTGTGCGGGAGGTCGAGGGTTCGAGCCCCGGCCGAACCAACACTCAAGGTCTTAAAATATCTGAGGAGAATGTGCTACCTTTCTATAATATCAAGAAATGGATAGACATTCTAGTCTTCTCGGATAAGGACGACTAAACCGTAAGTCCCGTCTCCTGCATCTATTAATTAGTTAATTTGGTTAGGCAACTCACTCATGAGATTACTGTGATGTGGTCTGGCCTGTTTACTGGGAATTGTGGGGGGGGGGA